GATCAATTTAGTTTACCTAAGCATAATATTTCTTCTTTATTGTGATGTTCAAAATATATTACCATATTTGACATGTGTGGGGGCGTGTGGAGGAGTAAAGAAACCATTATTTCCTGAATATTATTTATGTGACTGGGACTTTGTGAAGATTATCTCATCCTAAGGAATTCCTTTTACCCATTTTATAGACCATGAAATCAAGGTACAGAGAAGATAAGGGACTTGCCAAAGGTCACACAGCCAGGAAACAATGGAGTCAGGATTTAAATCTAGGATACTATGCCCTCAAAATTTAGGTCCTAGCCTCTTGCTGCATCCTTAGCAGGAACCTGTGATGGGATAATGGAAGAATCACCTCCATTATTACAAATCGTGCATTAAAGACCGGTTCTGCCTGGTAGGATTATAAAACAAAGACTCAAACTCCCTGCTCTCATAGTCTGGAGCAATCACTTGAGTTGGGTATGATCCTAAAGCTGTCATTAGGTCCCACCCTACCCTCACCTCACCCCCCATTGGAGGTCAGGAGCAGGAAGTGTGGTAACTCTCTAGTCTAAGAAAAAATAATAGGACAGAACAAGGAGCTACTTTGACCCAGCAGTGGGAGAACAAGTTAAAGATCAAAAAGATGTAACCTGAACTCAGAACGTGAGTTCTCAGGTTTGAATGCTTCATCATGTAGCTTTGGCTGGTACACTGGAATAAGCAATCAGAGCTTAAACAAGAGTTAAGGCTCAGGTTCTATTTCTACCTCCAACAAGATTTTGGTCTACACCCCTGACTTCCGTGTTCTCTTTGGAGTCATGGTAACAATGTCTGTCTAACATACACTATTTTAAATTGAGTGTGTGTGTGTGTGTGTGTGTGTGTGTTTCTTTTTTTTTTTTAATCCTCACCTGAGAACATTTTTCCATTGATTTTTAGAGAGAGAGGGAGAGGCAGAGAGAGAAACATTGATGTGTGAGAGACACATCGATTGGTTGCCTCCTACATACCAGGGCCAGAATTGAGCCTGTAATTCAATTCCTGTAATTCCTTTAATGGAATCGAACCTGGGACCTTTCAGTCTACAGGTCAATGCTCTAATCACTGAGCCAAACCAGTTAGGGCTTAAATTGGTTTTTAAAGTAAAACTAAAACAACCTGGCATAGAGGGTAGTGCTCCCCATGGATACCACAGAACTTAGTAGAGAAGAGCAGACCATCAGGCTCTCTCCAACCCTAGCTCCTTTCTCTCACCATGGAAAGGAAGATGCCAAACCTTTACCCATCCATACTAAGCCCAAATGTGCAAGGTGAGTTCAGGCAGTCACGTTCCCAATAACCCCACATTCTCCCACCAATGTTCTTTCGTGGTTTCAGATATTGCAACTCCACTGCTGTCCAGGACTAGAACTGAAAGACTTGAAAGGCTGCAGGAAGATGTGGCAGCTTGTCTCCACACCAAGCAAACATTACCTCTGACAGGTGACAACACACCCGGACAGCAGTGAAGGAGCTTTGTTTACATGACACTTAATATCCTGGAAGGCATGTGACATATGGGGATGCCCATATCCTAGTGACCCAACCCCGTGGACTTGGACCAGAGGTGAACTCAAGTCAATCTCTGCCTTGTTCTCTGCTGGCATCACCTCCCCAGCCTGTAGGAAAGGACTGATGGCTCCAGAAGATGACCCTGGCCTCTCAAATAGAAGACTGTGGTGTGTTACTCAGCCAGTAGAAAAATAAGGGGGCCTTTAGGAAAATGTGTCTAATATTGGAAGAAGAAAAAAAAACAGAAAGCTTTTGAAGCTCTTTTCATAATCGTCTAACTAGGGAACTAAATGGCCAGAGCTGAGAGTTACATTCAGCAGGACATTAGCCTGATTAAGCTCTGTATTTCCGTGATTCTGACAGCTGTTGGGGAGCATGTTATGAGCCCACTCCATGAGACTTTCAATATACACTGTCTCAATTAATCCTCATGACAATCTATCATCCACTGGCATAAACTAGTGATACAACCTTGGGCCAATCATTGACATCTCTGAGTCTGGCCTTCTTCTAATGCCAAGGTAAGAATTATCAACCCGTATGTCAAAATCCCCAAGGACAATGACAAGGAGTAGAATAGAGTGGAAGGCAGTAAGCCATATTGAGGGGATAAGTAACTTCAACACAGAAGGGGGAGGAGAAGAAGCAGTGTAAATGAATGGGAGACTATGTAGGGAGCAAAGGAAAAGCAAATTCAATAAGCAGTTTCAAAGTATGAGCCTCAAAACAAATATCTTTTTTCCTTGGAATATTATTACTGTTTTGTGCCAGATTAAGAAGCTAGACTACCTCCCATCTGCTTCAGAAAATAGACAGGATAACAGGAAACAGTTTCAGATTCCACAGTGATTATAGCTACTTAAGTTTGACTTACCAAATACTTTCTCAAACAGATGGTATGTAACATTTGATTATGGGCTTATCCTGCAAGCCCATCAGGAAACATTTCTTTTCATCTTAATATAGAAAACATGGCAGAGAAGGAAGAAGGAAATGAATCGGCCCTTGCTTATATTCCATATATATCAGTTCTGCTTAATGTATGTGCCTTTCCCAAAATGAATCTGCTTATTGTGCCACTCAAGATGAAAGTTATATATTATTGACACCATAGAATCTTGGTAAAGAAAGATGTTAAATATCATCTCACCTAAACCTCTTAGACAAGAAAGGTTAGCTCAGGTCTAGTATTCACACCAGTCTTTATATGTGCATAATGTGCAATGTGGGGAAAACATACAAATCTGTCAGCACCATTATTACCAAATTAGCACCAATCTGTGATGAGCAATTACCAGGACTTGAAGTTGATGGGTAATGACATTAAAGTCCAGTTAATGAGCCAAAGCTTGGTTCTCCAAAACACATAACATTAATCAGCATTTTGCTTTGATTTGTGACAACTGTTTTCAAAATATCAGACAATTACAATATTCTTAGCTTTACCTAGTGTAAATACAAAATCAAAGAAGGTCAGAATTTCATAAATGACAGTTTTCATAATGGAAATAATGAGTCCCACGGAGAGGGTGCCATGTGTTCATCTTTCCAGCAGCCAAATGTAATCTGGGAAGTAACGAGGTCACTGAGAGATTAAAAAGCATGAGCCTTCTGCTTGGTGAGGATGAAAATGTCTCTTTTCACAAGAGCAAAGCAGACCTAGCAAGCAGGATCAGCTCTATGATGCAGCTACCCAGGAATTATTCTAGGCTTCACGCTCCACCTCCCATTCCCACACACACCAGCTACCCCCAGGGTCACTGGTAGTGCCACAGAGGAGAGGCTTCCCCACCAACTGGGAGGCAGTGAGTGGAGCAGTGTGCTGGGAGGACTTGGGAATACAGCACATGGTGGCCTGGTGCTGGGCAAATAGCAGAGGTGAGTAAACCAGGAAAAATAAAGAAGAAATAAAAGGTAGTTTATAGGAGGTTGAAACCTCAGCTCTGAGCTCCATGGATAGTTCGTGTGGAATTTTGTTCTCCAAGTTTTCTGGCATAGTTCATCTGTGATCTTTTCATCGACCTACCTATCTATTTAAAGTTACAAATGAAAATCCAACTCTGGCTAATGTTAGGTCTTCAGAAAGACAAAGGAATGCTTCATTCACTAGGCTTAAAACAGCATTGCTCATCAGCTAGTCTTACATTAATTAAAACGTGTTAACCAATTAACTAGTCATCATTGATCATCCCATTGATACCAAACATTTATTGAGAAGTCACTATGTGCCAAAAACAACGTTGAATTCTTTTCCTGCATTGTTTCCTTTATTCAGTACTATAACTCTTTAAGATGATAATAACAATCATAATTATAGTCAGGAACTTAAAAATATATTAAGCACCTGTGTATGTCATTGTTCTAGGCATTGGGGATAGGGTAGTGAATGATATAGGCAAAGTCCCTCCTCTGTCTTCCAGAAACATATCAATTAGCTGTTACTATATAATAAACCTTCCCAAAATTTACTGGCTCAAAACAATTAGCATTTATTGTTGCTGCTAAGTGTATGAGCTTCCTGAGTAAGTTTTCTGATCTATCTGGATTCACTGTTGACAACTAGCAGATTGGCTGGTCTATAAATGCCTCCACTGGGAAAATTCTGTCCTACTCCACAAGGTCACTCATCCTCCAAAGCCTTTCCTGGGGTTGTTCTTATGGCACAGGCGAGGTCCTGAGAAAAGGGAAATGGCCTGGCCTTTTGAGGACCAGATGGAGAATTAGCACAGTACCACATCTGTCACATTCTACTGGCCAAAGAATGTCATAAAGCCAGCCAAATTCAAGGGTAAGAATGGAGTCTACTTCATGGTGGGAAAAACTGCAAAGTCACATTGGAAAGCACATGGATAGAGGATGGTCATTAATGCACTCCATCTGCTACATATGTGATGGTAACTAACCCGATAAGAAGGAATTCATTTAAAAAAATACTTCATTTAAATCTCACAATAATCCTATGAGTCAAGTTCTACTATCATCTCTGTTCCCCAGATGATGAAATTGAGGCCTACAGAGATTAAAAATGTGCCTAAGATCTACAAATATTTTGTGATAAAGATAGGATTCAAACTCAAGACCCCAGTGCCTGAGCACCAGCCCACTATGTCATTCTTTCCAACCCAGACACTTGGAAAGAAGAGAAAGTATAAAACATGGCCAATTACCTACGATGCACTTATAGTTCTATTGGAATGCATAACATAAGTATATAAAGAACTACTACCAGTCCATGTCACTAAACTATACTTGACCATTGCCCAACAGTGAGGGAGGATAAGGTGGCCAAGACAAGAGTCAGAAGCTTCCATCAATAGAGGGAGACGGACCTGAGCTTGAAAGGGCAAAAGGAGAGGGTTTTCTGATAATGGCATCTCCCTAAAGAGCTTTCTGCATCTTCTGTGTAAAGAGCTTTCTGCATCTTCTGTGCTCATAGAATAAACCTCAGTTTCTCTAGAGTGGCATTCAGTGTTCCTAACATGTGGCTTTATTGGTTAATATTTTATTTAGCTGCAAGAAGCAGAAAATCTGACAAACAGTGATTTTTACTCAAACACGGATTCTTTTGTCACATGCAAGGCATTTGGGGGAAAGCAGTCCTGGATGTCACAGTAGCCAGATTATGTTAGGATCTTTCTGCCTTTCTCCTCTTCTATCCCACATACATGTCCTCATTCTTGGTGGTTTCATGGTCCAGGGTGGCTGCTATACATAAGCAATCATGTGTGTTCCTAAGTAGGAAGAAGAGGGAGAAGAGGAAGTCCAAGGTAAGCATGCCAACACTTTATAAATGCTTTCCCATGGCATCCACCAGGTTACATCTTCTTTACTCTCTTTGGCTGAAGTTGGTCATGCAAAGGAAGCTAGAAAGGCTGGTGTTTCCATTTTATAGCTCCAGAATATGAGAAAAGACCAAATGGGGCTGTGACTGGCTTTTGTATACACCATGCTCAGTGTTGACTGCAATATATTGTAGTAGGTTCCCACTGCTTTTCCCAGGGCTTTTCCTCAATGGGCCAGTAAACCAAAGTCATCATTTCAAGAACACTCCAATCAGTTTTTCACAATCATCTTCTCCCTTCAAAGACTGTGGAAATCCTTCCATGACTTCCCTGATCCCAATAAGAGGCACAAACACTGCCTTCAGTCAGGCTCCCATGGTCCTTTCTCTGCTGAGCTGTTAGGGCACTTGCATGGCTCCACCTATAAAACGCAAACTCATCAAGTCAGAAACTACATCGTGATTTTGGTTCTACCAGCAGCATTTCACACAGCTCCTGGTGCATACAGACATCATGAAGGAAAGGGATTTTCTCCATGACTCAGTGCACATGGAAGTAGGGAAGAAAGACAGCGCAAATAATTTCAGGTCTATTGGGGGCAGATGACTGGCACATTGGGGAAGTCATCAGTACCAGGAGACTGTGTGAGCTGATCATTGAACCCACAAATAGAAGTTAAAAGCATGTATCTAGCTTCAGGAGAAAAGTCAGGGTTGGAGTTCTAGGTTTGAAAATCCTCGGCAAAAAGAAAGGGCTTAGGATTCCATCCACCATCGGGGAAGACCATGCTCAAAGAGGGAAAAGCAAGCTCCAAAGAACAAAAGTATGTCAAAAGCAGTGCCAGGCAATGACATGGTTCTGATATCATTGACATTTTGCCAGACAGGAAGTATTCACAATCTGCTCTCCCAAGTGGCCATGTGTCCTCCTGAAGCACAAAGGAGGCCAGACTTGAGCAACAATTTTCAGTCCTAACTTTATATTTAAGGCTCTCTATGGATGAAGACAACAGATATGTACTGCTGTGAAGCAGTAAATAAACAAATGTGTTGATCTGATTTCCTTACAGGGTAAGTGATAAAACCCCATATGAAATTGGCTTGAGTAAAGTGAACTTACTGTCTCATGGTAGAGCAAGGATGCTTTTGCTTCAGTCATGGCTGGATTCAGAGCCCAAGTAATGTCCTTAGGATGCTATCTCTCTCTACTACCTCTCATCACTACTCATTTCTGATTTTCTCTTAATTTGGACTCATTGTCTTTTACTGCAGATGGCTTTCCTTATTCATCCAGGAAAGGTGCCAGAAAGCAACTCCACACTCCATCATCTTTATAGCCTATGACCTCAAGGATAAGTGAGAGCTCTCTTCCCTTCCTAAGCACTTAAGTAGCAAATCTCAATGAAGAACCTGATTGGTCTTTCTTGGTTTCCTGCCTATCCTCAAGCCAAGAAAGGAAACACTCCGATTGACAGGGCTTAACACTGATTGACTGGGCTTAGGTCACATGCTCACTTCTCTGGAAAGTCATTAAAATCCAGTCCTGTTGGCAGAAGAAGAGGAGAAGGGGTCCAGACAGATGAAAACAACAGCAGTTGTCTCTTATAAGGCCTGTTGCAAACAGGCTTTAATTATTTGTGGCCTTCTTCCTTGTTAGCGGATTCAGGCACCTGCAGCCTTTTGATCGTTCGACAGCGAAGACCCACTTAACTCGCTGTCCCTGCTGCCCACTTGCCTGCTTAGCTAATAAACAACCTCGTCATATCCCTCTGGTCTTTCAGACATGTTTCAGGAAAAAGAACTAAATGGAGTCTTAGGCCAGTCACTCTCAAGGCTATTTCCAGTTACTGGATTTATCCCTAGTTTGTTTTATAATTACATCCATTTGGACTCTACTTGGCTCTTCCTCATACCTTCCTGAACTGCACCTTGGATTCCTACTCCTAATGTTATTTCTTCTGGGCTTAGACTATTACTTTATTCTCTCCTGCTATAACCCCCTTCCCAAGTTCCCGTGACTAGGCCGCTACTCTTTCACTGAGTAGTAGAGCTATCTGCAGCTAGAAACTAAACTCTGCTCACTTGTCAAGACTTCTTTCTAACGCTCTGGTTGGGATCCCCTGTGCTATCTCTGGAGGCTGGTTCACATGTTGAGTCCCACCTCACACTGGCTGATCTCTGATTATGACAGCTAATACCCTTAATAAAAAACTTTCTGTCTCTGAGCATGGAACAGACTAACAAATCCCAGAGGGAAGGGGCCAGTGGAGGGAGAGAAGAGATTAACCAAAGAATTTATACGTATGTATATATGCATAACCCATGGTCACAAACAATAGTGTAGTGAAGGCCTGAGGGCAAGGGGTGGCAAGTGGAGTAAAAGGGGCCAGTGGTGATAAGGGGGGGTGGGGGAGCATCTGTAACACTTTCAACAATAAAGGTAAATTTAAAAAAACTTTCTGTCTCCAAATGTGCAGGATAACCAGGTCACATGGAACAGCATATATGTTTATTGCATTATAAATATTTGATCTACCCAATGGAACCATGCAGGAGTAGAAAGAAAGCCCAACTCTCTTACTTGTTTATTATATTTTGTACCCAGGACCTTTAAAGAGTTTGTACTGTCAGGTTTCAAAGTATTGACTCCCTCCTAAATGAGATCCCGCCCTTTCTGCCTGATCCCTTTTTTTATAGAGTTTAAACCTTGTCACAGGATAACTACCATATGGTTCCCTCCATTTCTCCCATATCTCTTTTAAGGCTCCTTTACTTAAAATTCCCCTTTTCTTTCTTCAGGAAAAAAGCAAAGAACTCATGCATATTGATGCAAATAAATAGACTCCATTAATTTGGCAAACATGCCTAGGCATGAACTCCAGCAGCAGAATAGGCCTGAGTTCGGGTGGAAATATCTGCTACAAGAAGAGGCATGTTACTGGAAATTTGTTTCCCGGTCTGGGTCTACATACCAAAACATTGTTGGTATGTGTATTGGATACGGGTCACGCACCACTTCACATTCTCTCAATCCCTCCGCCCCCTGCAGCCACTGCTGTCGCATTGAGTTCCATGTGGTCTTTGTCCAGGTTCCCATGGATGTAATCTGATTGTCTGAAAATATTTATTGGGGCCCCCTTCACCTCTTGCATTCTGCCCCAGGTCTTCTCTTATGTAAGAGGCAGTGTACCTAGGAAACACTCTTTGGCACTAACACATTATAACCCAGAAGTAGTGCTATGGGACCACCTTGATGACAGATGCTAATGATACATAGGTCCCTCTTTTGTCTTTCAGGCAGGCTTTTTAAAAATAGGTTTTTACTGATTCTAGAGTGAGAAGAATGGAGAAGGATGGAGAGACAGAAACATCAATGACAAAGAAACATCGATCAGCTGCCTGCTGCACACCCTTTATTGGGGATTGAGCCTGCAGTTCAGGCATGTGCCCTGACCAGAAATCCAACTGGTGACCTCTTAATTTATGGGTCAAAGCTCAACCACTGAGCCATATGGCCAGGCTCAGGCAGGCATTTTTGAGACACAATTCCTAAGTCTCCTGAGAAGGTTCCAAGTGAGATAGAACAAAAGTGGCAAACCAATAGCTTATCCTGTTGTGATTATATAAAACACAAAGTTTATTCTTGTATTATTATTTATTAATTATTGTATGTTTTCCATAGGAGCAACTGAAAACCTATTTTTGCTCCCACCCTGTGTGTAAAATCATTAAAACTAACACTTAAAATTCATGTATCTTATATAAATTATGTCATAATTCTCTGAAACTTTTTTAAAGCACCAGAAAATTTATGGATGCATTAATACTTTCTGAAAGAAATGGATACATCATTGTTTTGGGATATAAATTTAAAATACAGATACAATGAGAACAACAGCTCGTTTCTTACCTCTGTCAGAGCAGGAACTCTTTTCTTTAACAAATTTGAATAAAAGTTTCCTTATTGATATGTAAATATACAATATATATAAAATAACATATATAGAAACATTAAAAGATATTATATGTAATAACATAATAAACATATTAATATATGTGTAGTCAATAAGAGCACTTTCAATTAAAACTTGTTAAGGAAAAGACTACCTTCTCTCACAGAAGTATATCATAAATAATATAAAGTGTATTACATAAAATTATATATGACAACATATTAAATATACACAAAGAGATTACTATATATACATACAGACTAGTATATATACACAAAGAGGTTACTTGTGTTGAATAAAGGAGATTAAATCTGAACTAATGAAAATACAAATAAATTTTGGGGATTAAAACAAGATGATGATGTAGCCCCTTATGACATTATTGATATATATAAAGAGGTAATATGCAAATTAGCCAGGACACCATAACATCATGACTGCTCAGGAGAAGGCTACACATGCAGGTGGGTGCGAGGGGACTGTGTGCGTGGTTCGGCAAGCCTTGGATGACACAGGTCCGCAGACAACAGGGCCTGCCAGCTGCTATGGCAGCGAGCAGACCCACAGAAAACAGGGCCTGCCAGCCACATGCACGGCAATCCCGCCTCTGCATGTGAGCTGCAGAGGAAACACTTTTTCTGACCGCTCATTGGCTAAGTTCCCTGTAAGCTGCCACTCTCAGTGTTCTTGGTAACTTGGGCAATAAGAATCCAATAAGGTGATCTAGGGTTTTTCCACCACACTCCTGGAGGAAAAAATGAAGGTCTGCTGCTGGAGGGGCTAAGAAATGTCATATCCTACCCTATCTGGTTTTGCTCAGTGGATAGAGCCTCAGCCTGCTGACCCACAGGATCCAGGCTCGATTCTGGTCAAGGGCATGTACCTAGGTTGCAGGCTCCTTCCTGGCTAGGGCCCAAGTCAGGGCTCATGCAGGAGGCAACCAATCAAAGTGTCCCTCTCACATTGATGTTTCTCTCTGTCTTTGCCTCTCTTTTCCATGCTGAGAAAAATATCCTCAGTTGAAGAAGAAAGAAAGAAAGAAAGAAAGAAAGAGAGAAAGAAAGAAAGAAAGAAAGAAAGAAAGAAAGAAAGAGAGAGAGAAAGAGAGAGAGAGAGAAAGAGAGAGAAAGAGAAAGAAGGAAGGAAGGAAGGAAGGAAGGAAGGAAGGAAGGAAGGAAGGAAGGAAGGAAGGAAAGAAAGAGGGGAGAGAGGGATAGAGGAAGGGAGGGAGGGAAGAAGGAAGGAAGAAATGTCATATCCTATGAAAGAGACATCTTGAAAATGCCTAAAGAGAGTTGTCAACAGGGACTGGAGTCCATGTTGATAAAAACACCTTGGCAGCTGCAGGAGCCAGCAGTGGCAGCAGCAGCAGGGTTATGGGGGTGGCGCCTTCTCCTGATCAGCCCAGTTACTTTCTAAGCCATCAGTGATATATCCCCTGAGGGTTCCCAAATTGGAGAGAGTGCAGACTGGGCTGAGGTACCCCAACCCCATGCACGAATTTCGTGCACCTGGCCTCTAGTTTTATTATAACTGTATCTCAATCAGTAGTAGACATCCATGGGAGCTCTGAGCATCTAAAAGGCAAAAATTGCATTCTTGGAACACAGTTCAAATATCAATGAAATTACACATAAGCAGAGAGACACCCACTTGATGCTAGAGAGGTAGAGCCATAGGTAACAGGCTGGAGGGTGACAGCCAGGGCAGCAGCTGAGGAGGTAGAGGAAGTCTACCTCCTGGTCACTGAAATATGTGGTCAGGAGCTTCACAGAGACCTCCAAAGACACGACATGTGCCACCAGCCTTTGGCGCTTACCACACAGGGGCACCAACATGCCAGACAGAGGGTTAGTCCAAGACACAGCACCCACAATGTTGAAAGAACAACAGAGAATCTCTGCCCCCTGCCCCCACATGGGCAAAGCCAGAGCCTGGGAGAGGGTGGAGAGAAGAGAGCTGTGAACCAGAATAGGTTTCAAACTGCATGGACCTAGCTTTTAAAAACTGAAAATTTCTACAATCTGCCCTAGATGTTGTTGAGGAATGTTAAAGGGGATTGCACAGCTCCATGGAAAGTACTGATTTGAAGAGGGAAAAAAGAAGAACCCATTACCTGTCTGTGCCCCAACATGTTGAGATCTCTCAATTAATGACTTAATAGGAGATCAGTGATGATAGATGATAAATACATAGATATAGAGGCAGAAATACATACATACCAAAGACTCAGATAATTTTAGAGCAAGCTAAGAATAACTGTATTCACTAGGTAGATTTTTACTATGCCCTGTGTTGAATTAGGTGCATTACCCATTAATCCATTTCATCCTCACAACAAATATCACATTATCCCCATTTCTTGGGTAAGGAAATAGACTTTAAGAAGTTTATGTAACTACCCTGAGCTCCTACAGTAGATGAGTGGCTAGTAAGTAGCTGTCTTCCTCTTAATCTCCTCTTACTGCTTATCCCAAACTCAGGGTCACTAATTCAAACTACCACCTTATTTTAAAAATGTTTAAACTTAGTCCCAGAGCAATTAAAGAATTTGTTCAGAGTTGTAATTAGTTAGCAGCAGAGAAAATGTTTCTAATATTAAAAGGTCTAGGCTTTTAAACAAAACATTACCAATGTTTTATACACACTCATTTTGAACAGCAATTGTTATTGTCTTAACAGATCACAGTACAAAACAGGTGGCTGGCTCTGGTTGTGCTCTGTTGAGAGTAGGGAATGGAGGAGCCATGTAAAATTGTATCCTACTTGTGAAGTTCAAGGGCATTTTTTTCCTTTATGCTGTCAGCACTATAATACTAGGTGCATTTCCAGTACCTAGCACAGTGCCTGGCACATAGTAGGTACTCAATAAATGTTTGCTGAATGGATAGTCAATATAAACATAATCAGTGGACCCTGGACAAAATATAAACCAATGTACCCTGGACAGAAGAATTAAGTTCCTCTCCTTTAACATTGTGTAAATAATACAAATTCACTTTGAATATTTTCTCCCCAGTTCATATCAGTCCAGTTTTTATTTGCATCTGTAATATAGATGCATACAAATGAACTTATCTGTCCTCACTTCTGAGCTAACCATCGTAACATCACGTCCTGTCAACAGACATCGAGGCCAGGATTTCTGTGTTTTTCTCTCTCCATTTGTGTATTACTTGTGTTGCTTGTTCCTTTTTAACATTATTATTAAAGAAAGACTCCTGACTTTCTTTACCCCTGTGAGGAAGGAAGGCACTGCTTGCCTTTTTCTTGCTGATGGACTTGTGCAGAAACTTAAAAAATGGAACCGGAGTTTTCTCCTCCTCCCCCCACCCCCCCCCCCCCTTCTGTTAAATTCTAACTTACCTCCCTTCCCCACATGGCAAGTCTATTTGCCTGCCCCAGGCAGCCCTGCTAGTCAGGCCAGGCTTGAGCTTGTTCTCTGAATGTCTGAAGCAAGGAGGCTGAAAAGGAAATACTCTCATTCCAAAGTTGCTTCGTCCTCACAGGGAAAAATTCTTTCAGAGAAAGGTAAACGCAGCCAATCTGAGAAATCTTGGTTGATTATTTACTATTACTTAACCTTCGAAAGATTCCACTGCAAAAGGAAGGGCAAGTGTTTATATAGTTCACAGTCCAGGAAACTTTTTTTTTCTCTCTCTCCTCTACATAACTAGCAAACTAAGCTAGTTCGCTTGGGCTGATGTGTAAAGAGGCTAGTTCTAGGATTACCTTCATTTCCCAGAATGCCTCACAGTGGACATACAAAGCAGCTGATTTGCTAACAGGGCTGAGGAGTTTGATTTTACATGATTACTGAATTATTGCTGGAGCTTTGCAAATCAGCTTTACCAGTTCTCATAACTATCCTTAGCTATTCTTCATAGCATAAAGGGAATCTGTCGATATAAAGATGAATGAAGACTTAAACAATATGAAAGGAAACTTTCTTAAAGCAGAACACCAAAACTCAAACATGATTTTTACTATTTTAAAATGTGGTTCTGGAGTTTTGGAGCATCATTTCAAGGGACTTGAGTTTTCAGGCCAAATCTTTGTGCAAAGATACGAACTCTTCTGCTTCAGAAATATTATTATTAACTACCTGCAGCAATTACTCAAAATACCTAAATGCTATTTGCAAAATAGTTAGGCAATAATGCTGTGGGCTGTCATTTCAAAGGCTATAGGTAACACCAGCCATTCTTCTTGGGGGTTCTTAAAAAAGATAGTAAGTAAAAAAGTGGTTTATGTTATATAAGAGGCAAAGGTAAAGATGGTAAACAGACTTCACATAAAAAATAACAGTGCACTTTTTACTATGGCTACATCAATTAGGAGTCTAATTGAATACAATTAACAGAGCTACTGCTAGTGACCACAGCAAATCAGTGGTTTATTCTCACACATAAAGTCAGAAGGTATGTGGTCAATAGGGGTCCAAGTATTCTGTCTTCCTCTGCCATCCTAACCTCATAATCCAAAATGGTTGCCGAAATCCCAGCTATTCCATCAATGTCCCAGGAAGGAAGAGGAAATGGGAGAGGAAGGGGAGAGGGGCAAAAGGAGTATCCTATCTTGTTTCCCAGAAGCTCCACGCATAGGGTTGCCAGATTTGGCAAGTAAAAATAATAATATATTACATGGGACATACTTACATTAAAAATGATGAGTTGATCTGAAAGTAACAATTAGCTGGGCAGACCATATTTTATTTGGCAATGCTACCCAACCAATAACATCTCCTAAGGTCTCATTGGTCAACCCTACTGTAATGGGAGACTGGAAAATGCAGTCTTTAGCCACTCACATTGACACATTAAGAAATAAAAATGGAGCCGAAACCGGTTTGGCTCAGTGGTAGAGCGTCGGTCTGCGGACTGAAGGGTCCCAGGTTCGATTCCGGTCAAAGGCATGTACAGTGGCTGCGGACACATCCCCGGTGGGGGGTGTGCAGGAGACAGCTGGTCGATGTTTCTCTCTCGTTGACGTTTCTAGCTCTCTCTCTCTCTCTCCCTTCCTCTCTGTAAAAAAATCAATAAAATATATTTAAAAAAATAAATAAATAAAATAAAACAAAATAAAAATGGAGAGTGCATATTAGGTAAGGAGCCTGGGGAGTGAGGGTGAGTCTGGGAAAAGGACAGTGCCTCATCGGTGCCCCGAACCCTCTACAAAGCATTTCTTGACTGCATCAGACCCTGTGGTCACTCTGGCCTCTGGAAGCTCATGGCCCTTTTGGTCTTGGTTCTAGATACAAAGTAAAGATACTGATTGTCAATAAATACACAAGAATTGGTATGTTCAGGGGCTACTGTCTTCTCCAAAGGGGTCAGACACTAACAATGCTGACACCCTTCAGAATAGCTTTTGAATTTAGATCCTGATGAAGCAGACGTCTTTCCTGCCAGGGGCCCAGAAAGCCACAGTGGCATGCGGGACCAGGAAACGTGTCCCCGAGTGGAAATGTTCAACATTCCATTGTACATCAAAGTTCCATAGTGATGACACAAGATTAACTTCCAGAATGTCAAAGTTCCCGCCAAAGGGGACAGGACTGAGGAAGCCACTGGTTTAGAAAACTGGCCTGGAAAAGCTTGATGGCCCCTCATAACTCAGTGGTCTGTGGCCTGATCAACGTCAGTAAAGCATGGTTTACCCAGGCGTCCTCAAACTTTTTAAAGTGGGGGCCAGATCACGGTCCCTCAGAGAGCTGGAGGGCCGGACTATATGAACTACTAATCCCTACTGTAACACCTCGGCTGCGCTCACTGCCCAAAAAACCTGGCGGGCCAGATCAGACTCCTCTGCGGGCCGCATGTGGCCCGCGGGCCGTAGTTTGAAGACGCCTGGTACACCATGCTGCATTCTAAAATAAAGACAGGGAACAACGGGAGAAAGCAGGCCCGGATTTAAATTCCCTCCATGTTTCCCTGAAAAGTTCAGTTTGGGGGGTTCCTTTTGCCTGATAGTGACTGCTTACAGTTCTTCCCACTATAAACCCTGCATCCATGCCTTTCCCCGAGCTCTTACCTGGATGAACTTAAGATGTTTTATAAGATTCAGTCTTTGTTTCCAAATGACACTTAAGCACATCCCACCTAGCCACAGGCCTCTTTCCTGGGAACTATGTGATCAGCAAGCTTTCAAAGCAGGGATTCAATTCGTTTTCTAGGACTAAACCCAACCTTAATAAATCAATTTCTTCTCTCTCTCTCTCTCTCTCTCTCTCTCTCTCTCTCTCTCTCTCTCTCTCTCTTTTAAGATTTGAGTTTTTTAAATAGGTTTTGTTTTGAGAGGGGGGGAGAGAAAGGAGAGAGAGAGAGGGAGAGGGGGGGGGAGAGAGAGGTGAGAGAGATACATCAATCAGCTGCCTCCTGCATGCTCCCCCACTGGGGATGGAGCCTGCAACCCAGGCATGTGCCCTGACTGGGAATCAAACTGGCGACCTTTTGGAACAGCGTTCAGCCAACTGAGCCACGGCAGCCAGAGCAGTCACTCCGTTTCTACGGTTCAACACCTTTCCTGGATGGTTCCTGGGCAAACATCTCTGTTCAGGTGCTGATGACAGTAAACACCTTACACACATTTGGCCTGGGGTTTAGCCACATTCAATTCTGGGCTAGTCATATGCTCTCTCGCTATTTATACTGCTCTGGGTCAGCTACTTGATACTTAATAAAATCTGCCTCCAAGCTGTCCTGCAAGGGAAAATGACCCGTCCGGGGAGAATGCTGTTCCAACTCGATGACCTCTGATGATTGCCTAACCGTCCTCTGGAAAGGTTGCGGGCCGCTGTGGGTGAACATCCTGCCACCTCCCGGCACCCCCTCACCCCGCCCCGCTTTCGGGGGCCTTTCCAGCCAGCCCCTCCCACGTGGCAGCCACTGCAGAGGATGGCAAGGGCGATGTGGCAACCTGACCTCTGCCCAAGGTCAGAGCACACAGGTTTCGTCAGTGATGATTTTTACCAACCTTTGGCTGTTTCAGAAAGCAAGGAGAGAACGTAAGAGCGGGCAAGAAAGGAATCCATGGGATGGAAATAATGAGCCATTTATAACCCAAAATGAGATTGCCAGGAAAAACAAACACCCGAAAAAAGTACATTTTATCAGAGACCTGCGCAGCCCAAGGCCAGCGGGGTACAAGGTACTGCGTGTCCAGCGTCCCGGGCCAAGAGCTACAGTCAGTCCTGCCCCCGGTGCCCCCTCGCCCCTGTCAGCGGCTCAGCAGCCGTCACCACCTGGCGGGGGAGCTTCGGCGGCTCTGAGTGTGTGCCGGTGGCTGCTTCACATCGTGATAAGGATGCGGAGTCATGTTGCAACACTTAGCGAGCACTTCTGCGTAAGAGTGGCGCAATCCGGGGCTCCGTGCATCAGCGGGGCGCCGCTAACACCCAGCTTATGTAATGCAGGTCTGTCCGCACAGCTTTTGGAAGGATTTTCTGGCCCCGAACTCAAACTCGGCCCTGGATTCCCAGCGGTTGTTTGCCCTAAAGCTGCGTGGAATGGCTCAGCTGTCAGCACCTGCCGCCTCCTCTCCCTCGGACGCGGAGGAAATCGCATGGGCTGGTCCCCATCTACAGCAGCACCAAGAGGGCTGGCTGTGGGTGCCTGGGTGGCCTGGGCCACCCTGAGGCACCCTGGAGGGAGGGAGGATGAGAACTTGTAACCTAAGGAAGACTAGACCTGTAGATAGAGCTGGGGCTGCTACAAGAGGGGACAGCAGCAAAACGGATTTCCCCAAAGCGAGGCGTCCTAGTTTGTTTCACCAGGAGCGTGGTTAATGGTTTGCTCGCAGCCCTTTTCTTGAGTGGAGGTGGGGGCGCAGTGCTCTCTCCTCCGACTTACCTGGAGTGCGCTTACAAAGTAGGTCGAGTGTTTGCTTGGTGCCCTCTCACCTCCAATCACTGTACTCACGCTGCTTGGCTTCTGTTTCCACCCAGGCTTCCATTCACTCAACAAAGCTTTTGAGCACCTGCTCTGTGCCCCGTGCAGTGCCAAGCTCAGGACACAGACAGGGCTTTCACAATACTGTGTGACCCCCGCAGCTCACTGGGCAGGCCCTGGTGGGCCTTCTTCCATGCCATTCTGGGCCCACCATGTCCAGAAATTACCCCTCCCTTCATTTGCCTCCCATGACTCTCTCCCCCTCCTCCCTTGAGGGCTGGGATATCGCTTTATCGTCCTTATTGCAATCTAACAAGTTTTTCTCATGAAAGTGCTGTTTTTGATAATCACTAATTTCTCTCAGGAGTTTCCGCACATTGAAAGGTGATGGCGTAAAGAAACTATGTCTTCCACGAAATAGACAAAGGGCTAATGGAGAGCTGGAAGCAGGAGGTCGCAGGGTAATACATCTGTTGTCGGAACAGACTGTTCCGGGTTCCACCAGGAGGCAGGTTGCCTCTCTCACCTCTTCACTTACTTTACTACTGGTGAGCTGTGTGCATAGCGGTTTAGGGAACACATTCTGGAACTGAACTTCCTGGGTTCAAATCCCAGCTCTGCAAGTTATAACCTTAGGGAAGTTATTTGGTCTTTGTTAATTTCCTTACGAAAAGAGGAATTCTAGAAACAGCTAAATACATCTCACTGAATGGCTTGGGGATTAACCTAAGTTAGCATGTATGAAACTTTTACAGTGCTGGCATGCATAGTAAGTGCTCGATAAATATCAACTTTGATTTTTTTTCATGAGGTCCACTTCGTCCTTTCTACTTTGCTTTCAGATTCTTGCGTGAGTCGTTGCACTCAAATAGAGGACTGTTTATTCAGGGCTACAGTTTCCCCATCTGCAAAATAGGAAGTGGTTACTGAGGATATGGGCCAGAGGGCCAGTCAGGTGACTAGGTTCTTGTCTATGTTCTCTACTGGCTTCTGAGCGCAGACAACTCACTTAAGCTCTCTGCACCCCAGAGACTAGACTTGATCTGCATTTTCCAAACTCAGATTATTCAAATAACACTTGCAGAGTCATCACCACATGCCTGGACCAGCAGGGAGACAGGTTGCCTCTTTGTACCTGGCCACTTGGTATATTTCATTAGTCTTTACATCAGTCTCACTTTCCTATGTAACTTTGCAGTAAGATGAAACATCCACAAGGATTTGATACAGTAGTTATAAATGTTTCTAACATATATTAAAATAAACACCCAATAAAATTTTAAAATATTTATGTAACACCCAAATATAATACCTTGCATGCCACCAATGATGCATATACACCATTTTAGGAAACTCTAAATTAAATGTTCAACAAATGATCCACTATGGATCCAGCCAACTCTAAAATAATCTTGGCCACTGTGATATTACTTTCATGTGGTTATTTCACTTTGGGTGTGTTTCTTTGTATCATTTGCCTCCTTGGGGCACAGACTATGGCTTATACCTCTTTAAGCACCAAGCCCCTTAGAAAAGTGCTTGGTAAATATTTCATTTTAAATTATCAATACATGCATACATACAAACAGATATATCTGTCACCTACTATCCAGAAGGCTAACAAAAATGCTCTTTTTTTTTTTCCTCCACATCAGATTACTGTGTCCTCTGGGTGGTTGCTCACTACACGAAGTGAAGTGTGTGGAGTCCGGGCTCTGAGAGGAAATGTTAGCTTCCCGGACTGTCTTCCTCCTCCTGTGCTCTTTGTTCGTGTGGCTGTCGGTCCATGTGAAAAGTGAGCCTACTTCCTAAGCAGTTTAGAGCTCCAGCTATTGTTGGGCCAGAATAATCGTTGTCTTCAACATCAGCCCTAAAATAGTTCATTCCCAGATCTAAAAACATCTGATCTAAATGTTTTCATTGAAGAGGTCTCAAGACATTATCTGGTGGTTTTACTGAAAGTTCATTAGCAAAAGTTGCATGCACAACCACAGTATCATGGGTTCAGGGCTTGAGCAAATTCTTCAAACATTTATTAAGCACCTTCTTAAGCACCTTCTGTGTCAGTAACCTTGGGAGATGAGACCTCTGAATGAGACTGTCAGACTGTGAAGGAACTAGTGAACTGTGAGTGTCTTGAAAGTAAGGAATACGTCTTGCTCATCTTTGCACCCCCTATGGCTTACCAAAGCATACACACATGATAGTCATACAGTACATATTTGTTCTCTAACTGAGCAAACAAATGAATGAAGACAGAAGTATAGCATGTAAAGAGCTTATAGTCAGTTTGAGAAGAGAGAAGACTTAGACAAATGAAGCTTTAATTAACAATAAATCTAACATTTTAATAGATAACACGGGCTGTTAAAGGTTAAATGGAGACTGTGCTGTCATATACTAGTACTCTCTCTCAAAACCCGAAAGCTGATTCAGGGGCAGGCCTCACAGTGTATTGGCCCCGTTTCTATTTATTTTCCACCCAAAGCCAAGCTGTCATGTGACTGATTTCTAGAGGCCACTGAGTTTGTCAGCCCCTGGGAATGAGCAGGGTATTATTTAATGTAAATAAGTCACTTAGTGTTTATGCTCACAAGCATTCTTCAGTCATCCACAGGCAAAGAGAGAAATGGCAATGATGACTCTTTAAGATCGATGAAATTAGAATATGCAAGAAGGTGGAAAGCTCTCCTTAAGAGTTTTGCAGGCTGTGCGTCAAGGTGACCCTTCAGGAAAGGCCATGACATCCTGGGGGAGACGCTGGGCTTTCTCAGGCGCTTTCTAGGATTCCAAACTGTCAGCATAAAAATAGCAGCCCACGTCAATGTCCTCTATTATTTATTAGTTACTGAAATGCTCTTCCCAAATATACACTTACCTGGAAGACTCCTTCTGTATGGTTTCAAACCATTTTTAGGGCATGAGTCAGGCTGTATATTTCCATCTATTTCACTGGCAGTGCTACCACCAGTAGCAAAACCCTAATTAAATAGAAAGAATGACATTTCCATTAAAATTCTTCTTGAAAAATGATTTATGGCCAATAAATATTTCAACAGTGCAAAACAGTATGGAATGGAAAGTAGACTGCTCTCAACCTCTGGAACCCAGTCTCCCACACTGTTCCACAGAGGCATCCAGCATTGTATTTCTTAGGTATCCTTCTAGAAATATTCTGCATATATGCATATGTGACCTCCTTTCCTATGCACATCTTTTGTTCCTTAGTAAAACTTAACAATATATTGAGGGGTTTAAATCCATAAATCCATATAGTCAGATTTACTGCTTTCATTTCATTTCAGTGTATTTCATTGTATGGATGCCCCCAAAACTTGCACGTCCCTCTCCTCACAGACATATAGTAGTTTTTTTACCTTTGGTTCCCATAAACATATTTTTTTACATACGTATGAATAGAACTATGAATCAGTGCAGCATCAAAGGACAGGTGAATTTTAATGCTGATAGACATTGCCACATGGTGGTACTTAACTTTTGATGAGAATTGCCAAAAGTAAGGTATTTATTTGTTCATGCCAGAAACAAGAGTGAAGACAGTATTTTATTTTAAGCCTCAGAGAAGCAGCACATTTACTTATGAGACTCATTTGCCAATCTCTCTTTCTCTCTCTCTCTCTCTCTCTCTCTCTCTCTCTCTCTCTCTCTCTCACGCACACACACACACACACACACACACACACACACACACACACACTATTATAAATCCATTCAAAATTCACTGACAACAGCTTACTGAGTGAGGAACTTGCCAGAAGTTCCTTACCACCAAATTGCGTGAGTGTTGCAATGGGGTTAGCTCACGAATGCCACACTTTCTCCGGTGTGGCCTTGCCGTGTTTACTACCCTTTGTGGCCCTGGTCATTTAGCAACACTGCCTTATTTCTCTGTTGTAACCAAAGGTCAGCTTCTGACCTTCCTCCCTCCCTTCCTCCTCAGAAACACAGGCACATCGTTTCTTCTCACCGTGGTGTCTGCACAAAAGGAGTCCGTCTGAGGGGTCAGGCCAGGCCGGCTGCGGCCGCGCCAGGGAGAAGGCCGGCACCATGGGACTGGACTGGATTTTCTCTTACGTGTGGGGGAGAGTTAATGAACGATAGCCTTCCACTCCCTGTTCAACTGCCACTTCCCACCCGGGCTTCTTATCTTTCTTTAAAAAAGTGAAGAGATCCGAATGGTTCTCTAGTGTTTACCCAACACACACTCTGCACTACAGTCCCCATCTGGGGCTCCTTCTACCTGCTCCTGTAATGTGAGAAACCTTGTGAGGTTTTGTGTTTGTTTTGTAACCAACTGTAACCATTTTCTTTTCTCTGCCTCTGACCACAAACACAGCACCTTCCTGGCAACCCCTGAAAAGAGACACCTGAACAAGCTGAAACGAATGAAGCCATCTTGGTTCTACAGGTGGCAAACAATTTAACACACTTCTGCTTATATTTAGAATGAACTGTAAATGGAAGAAAATGGTTTAGGCCCTACCTCAAATACTTTTGCTTCCCAGAATCTAGGAAATGACTTTGTAATATGAGTAAACAAGAAACTTCAATTTTGCATTACCTCAGCATCACTCTCAAAGAGCCAGAGATTGTGGATGAAAAAAATAAATAAATAAAAAGATTTAGACTCTGCAAGGAAACAATTTCAATATTCTCAGGCTGTGAACTGTTTAAGCGTATGAGTCTAGCTAGCCCTGCTCTGTCAGAAAGCAATGGGCAAAACAGACCTTCTGTGTACAAGTGAAGAAAGTAAGAAACCCCCTGAGTTACGGTGACACTTTGTTGGTAAAGTTCCTATTCACATGAGCTGATCACCTGCCCGTGCCAGAGTTTGGAAGCTGATACAGCTACTCTTTGTCCTGGCACACAGAGTCACCAGAAAGCAGGGCCCAGAGGACTTAGAAAGGAATGAGGATGGACAATGCGGTGCGGGGAGGGAATGCTCGCGGATGGAGGACACCATGCTATTCTACTAATTGACCAAATCCTTTCTCACAATGGACAGGTTTCAAAATCAATAAAGACAAGTCCCACTTTTGGACACTTACACCAAAGACATGAATATATCTTTAACAATGAAGTTCTTGATCAATTTCTATTTCCATTTATTTAACAGGACTTTCTACTAGGTGTTATACAAAGACAGAAAAAGCCATCAACTCTGCCTCATACTGTGCCCTCATTAAATATTGTTGAACAAATCAATCAGTGAATGCATGAATAAAGGAATAAACTTAAAGTCAAATTAAGGGAGAAAATATGGGCAAGCAGGTAGGATGTACAGAATACAGTGGTGAGAATCACCATCTACTTGGGGTAGTAGGAAAAGGCCTTGAGGCAATATTTGAATAGTTAATGGCCAGACAAATGGTGGACGAAGAGGTCCTTAATGTAGGCAAGTGAAAACACAACAAGGCATGAGTAAAGGCCTTGAGCAAAAATCAGGAAACGATAGCCCATGGGCCAAATCTAGCCTACCACCTGTTTTATAAATAAAGTTTTATTTTAACACAGCCATGCCCATTCACTTTCATTCTGTCTATGTTTGCTTTCATGATTCAACAGCATCACTCAGTAGTTGTAACAGAGACCACAAAACCAAAACCATTTCTATATATTCAGGGACCTGTAGAAAAGTCCCAATTTCTGGAAGGTGGTCCTAAGAGGGGCTCAGTGAGAGATGAGACAGAAAGGTGAGCAGGGACCAAGTCCTAAAGGTTCTTCTATACCACTGTAAGAAATGTGACCTCCATCCTTTAGGAAATGGGTAAGAAGAGCAGTTTTGCATTTAGAAAATGTCTCTCAGGTATCAGGTTAGATGGGAGAGATGCAAGATTGCAACAGGAGACCAGTGCTCCAATCCCTGCTTCTCTGACAAAATCCTTGATTCAACAATCATCAAAGAGTTTAATGTTTGTCATTATGCATCTTGTTATCTGCTTTGGAAACAGAACCTTGCACATAAATACACTCAATCAAGGTTTATTGAGTAAAGGAATTAAGGAAGAAATAAAGACAAAATTTTAATAGCATCATTATTCAAAGGTTTCCTGAATAGGCTACATCTGCTATGAAATCACAAGACAAGCTCGCCACTACTCTCCAGTTTCCACACTAATACACAGTGAGGCCAGATGTGAGGAGGTTAATGGTGAAACAGCCAGAGAGAAATTCCTTCCCTTCATGTTAGTGCCAACATCGTCAATTACCACCTACTGACCAAACCTGTGTTTATTCCATGCCCTGTGGCCTAATGGGAAGGATCGAGACAAGAAGCAGCTCTGCAATGACTGTCATAAAAATAAGAATATCACTTGGCTTCGTTGGCATCTTTCATTGGAAGATCTTGAATCATTTTTTAATTTTATGTAGCTATTATCTCCGTTTTATTTGCACGTAAAGAAAACCCAAACAAGAGAGAGAGGTTGTGACTTGCCCAAGGTCACTGTGCAAACCAGAAAAGCAGTTTTTCAAAGGGGAAAAGACCTCGAAATATGTGAAATCCAGTTTCCTCTCCAGCCTAAGATGGGCCAGGTCCATGACTAAGGAACACAGCTATCCAAGCTTAGTGTTTCTCAAAAATGAGTCATGCTAGAGGAAACTAGGGCTCAAGGACCTGTGTCAGAAGCATGTTTTTAGAAGTCACACATTGTCCCCACCTGTAGGATTTCAATACCTCTCACCAAACTCCATCGTGGGTGAAGAAGGGCCCTTGGAAGGTCCAGGTTATGGAAATGGATGGATCTTGCACAAGGTATCTGTCCTTTCTGCCACTATCTATCCAGGTCTCCCCATTCCTTTATTCATCAGAAGTCTATGCCCAGAGTGGCTGCAGGTTCCAATTGGTCTATTATGATCCTGGTATTCACCCAGTGTAATTACTAATAAATCTCTCTTTTTACTCTAAAAAAAAAATGCCCCAGAAACTGTATGGTCACTCTAGGCCTGACAAATCAAGAGGCTACTACACTCAATCCAAAGGCCTTCCTCTAATTCTGATATTCTATCTCAGCCACTTCCATTTCCTAGATCCAGAGTCTTAAACTCACAATAGACCTAAATGTCCAATCAGTTCAGAGATCTCCTCTTATTAGTAATCTAATCTCTACACATATGTTTCTGGGACAAGTTTGCTACACAGCCCATAAAACAGTTAATTATTAATTGTCATAAATCACTTTCTTACTGTATGCCACAATCTGCCTTTCCAAATATTTTATATGTTGATCTTCACTTTATTCTCAAGAAGCTCACAAATCAATCCTCCTTTCTGTCCCATAACAGAGTCCCCAAAAGTTCTCTGTTCTCCACCCCAAACATCCCAAGTACCAGATACAAGTTCCAGCAGAGCTTCCAGGAATGTGGCTTCAGAGCCAGACATACCTAGGTTCAGGTTTGACTCTGTTGCTCACTAGCTAGGTGACCTTGGGCAAACACTTAACATCTCTAATTTCACTTTTCTTATCTATAAAGTTCGAACAAATATTAACTACATGAGGTAGGCACTGCTGGTTACCTAGCCAATATCCATTCCTCATTTCTTCCTTCCTAATCATGGGGCTCACTTAAACACTCTTAGAATGCCAGACTCCCTTGCAGCTTGATGTGGGCATGCAACACAGTTCTGGACAATGAGGTGCAATTGGAGGTTAGAGTTTCTGAGAAAGCTTATTAGAGGGGGCATATTCCGCTTGCATTCACATGTTTAGTTTTTGCCACTTAGACTTTGCCCTTATGCCTTTCGGACTAAAACCCAATTGTGATGCATGAAATAGACCAACCATGTTGCAAACATAAGGAAGAAAGCCCAAGAGAAGGAGCCTGGGTTCTTGATTGTACCTTGGGGTCCCTATACTCTTAAAGTACTTGCTACTATACTTCTTATTTTGTAAGAAAAATAAAATCCTCATTTGGTTAAGCCAATGAAATAGGACTTTTTGCTATTTGCTGTCAGATAAAT